GTATTTAATGATGTGAAACGTAATGCATGGAAACAAGAACTGCTTGGGGATTTTAATATAAGATTGTTAAAGCTTTGCTAGTTATAGAATTAATGCTCACCCAAATTAAGTTCTCGGAATTATCAAGTCGAAATTAAGTAAGGCATGTGGTTACAACTAGATTAATGGGACAATATCAAATTGACAACATAGAATTAGATAGTAATGTTATGGAGAGAAACAATAATCCACAATTAACAAATAGAACTTTTCACCTTGGGTCTCTCACTCACTCTCTTGTTGGTGGCACTTTTAATGGAGGAAGATTGAGAGCAACCGAGCGATGCCACTAGGAGACAAATGGCACACAAAGTGTAGTCCGTTGGAGTGGGAGCCGGTGGCGGGTAGTCCATGGGATGACTAGAGAGCATCCAACGTCTTATCCTTTCTTCCTTGATCATCAAAGATGAAGCCGTGGTTGATGTCGGGATCGGCCGTCCATGGATGTGGAGAACTCTCTTCTTGAGCCCTTGAGATGCTTGCTTAGAGAAAGGCTCCCAAGAAAACAAAAACTGAAATCTGAAATAATTTCAGTTTTGGAAGAGGGGAGGGGAATTAATTTGATGAATTCAAAATAATTCCAAAGGGGGGATTGATGGGGGGCGGCGGCAGGAAGGAGGGAAGAGAGCCGGCGGGCTGGTGGGCTGGCCGGTGGCGGCTGGCCGGCAGGTTGTGTTGGCCGGCGGATTGGGGCTGCAGGCCGGCGGCCTGGGCAATCCAGGGAGGGGGCGGCGGCAAGAGCAAGGGAAGGAAGAGAGGGAAAATTTCTAGGGATTCGGCGAGTGAAAACCCAATTTCCCACGAAAAGCTTCAATCCAAATCTCCACAACACGAAGTGCTTAAGAGAACTAAAGAAAAAAAAATGAAAGACAAGAAAAACCTAGAACTCACAAAAAGATCTAGTTCTCCTACGAACTCACTAAGAGATCGAGGAGGGTGAACTCACAAAGAGAACTAAAAAATAAAATTTTCATTTCATCAAAACTACCATTACATAAGAAAACGGTTATATATATAGGCCTCAAAATGACAAAGAAAACAAAAGATTAAAATGCCCCTTGGGCTACAATAGCGACCAAATACCCATAAGTGCAAAAGCGAAAAAAAAAACTGAAAATAAAATAAACTACTACATAAAATGACTCAAAATAAAACTCATGATCGTGGCCGTCGATCTCCGGCGTCTTCTGATGGTACATGTGTCGAAAATGCTGACGATGTCCTCATCATTTAACCTTTGTCATACCAAAATAATTTTTGAGATTTTACTACCTCAAGATCTAGTAAATTTGGATTTACAGGATTTACTAAATCCTACTTGAGGCCAAACTATCCCATCATCTAAAGTTTGGCTGTTTTTAATTGCCAGTCACAAATTTTAGGTCAGAAGAGAATTTATGTGAGGGAAGTGCCGCTTTTTTCTTTTTGTGGTCATATACTTGCTGAGGGAATGCCTTTGTTGTTGGTAGTGTTGGTATTGGTGGTAAAGCATTCGATCATAATCAATTGGCAAGAATCATTTATTTAGTCTTTTTGTCATCCATGCCAAGGTGCACTTCAGCAGCTTGCCTTCCCGCCTTCGATGGGCCTATAGCTGCTCTCACCAAGCAGCTGCCTCTTCCTTAAGCTTGTACGCCACAAATTGCACCTTCTTATCCTCAGGAATGTCCATATATTTGAAGAATGATTTCACAAATTTGATCCAATTGAAGCAATCCTTAATGTAAATATGACCGTTAAAGATTGTAATATCTAACTTAAAAAATTTGCAGTCTTGATTTTGGTTTTGGTGAGGATAGGTACATGGATTGCGCAGATTTTGTGATCCATTGTAAGCCCGAGCTTCAACCCTGTCGTCGGAGTCGGAAATGTACCACTTGGAGCTAGAGGATCTAGCAGGGGCTTCATCTTATTCTCTGTTTGCTCTTCTTAAGTGAAGATGGTTGATCCTTTTGTTGCTGAGGATGAGGATGGAGATCTTGTGGGTGTTCATCCAAGGCATGCGGTAGTGGTTGACATAGCAAGAACATCCCAGCAATAGTGAGGATGGGCCGAACTTCAGCAGATTGAGCATCAAATTTCTGCTTAAATGTTGTTATGGACATCCGTCCGACCTTCACATCGAGTTTATCCCCTTTGATGTGGTGACCTTCTTCCACTCCACTGGCTGATCCTGGGTTCTTTGGGCTCTAATACTAATTTTAAAGAGAAAAGGCGAAATACAGGGACAAACCCCCAAAATCCCAAAACGAGAGAACCAAATATAACAAAAAATGGCATTCAATATTCTACTTACCTTGTGAGATCTTGCTTGAGAGGAAGAAACACTTCCTCTTCTTGATCTTCAGAGAGGAGGAGGGAGAGAGGGAAGGGGAGAGGGAGAGTACTAAATCAGAAATTTTATTTCTTAATCATCCCTATTATAACCTATAAAGCCTCTATATATATAGACATAAAGGCTACACAACAAGCTACAAACCTAAATCTAGGATCAATATCCAACAATCTCCACACTGATTCTAGATTTACACAAAAAAGATAAATGCTGTCCACAAAGAACAGTCCCGCCGGTATTTCTCGCCAATTGCGTCCACCGGATGGTTAACACCATACACCCTGTGCGTCTTGCTTCCTGCGCCCTGTGCATCCACTTGCACCCTTCGCCCTGAGCCTCCAGCTCCGCTCCCGCGCCTTGCACTCATGTGGTCTGAACTCTGACTTCAACTATATCCTGAACGTATCCACCGGCACACCAAGTCCTGCGCCCTATTTGTCAGAATCTCAAGCCCTGAACTGCCGTGTCCGGCCAGTGCCCTGCGTGTCCTCCGTGCTCCCGTGCGACCTCCTTGCTCACCGCACGCCAACGCTCATCCCGAGCGCCGCTCCCGACACTGCTCCTCAAGAAAACCGCCTTTGCCTCCTCCAACTAGCTTGGTTTCATCCACCAGGCTCTAATACCAGATGTGAGATCTTGCTTGAGAGGAAGAAGTACTTCCTCTTAAGCAAGATCTCACATATGGTGTAGGGGATTATATCGGAATCGCCTACACCAGATGTGAGATCTTGTTTAAGAGGAAATGCTTCTTTCTCTCAAGCAAGATCTCACATCTGGTATTAGAGCCTGGTGGATGAAACCAAGCTAGGTGGAGGAGGCAGAGGCGGTTTTCTTATCTAAGAAGGTGGTTTTCTTATCTAAGAAGGCGGTTTTCTTATCTAAGAAAACGATTCAAGAAAAGGTGAGCTGATGCATGTATCGACCACGAGACAGAAGCAGAGCCGGAGCAGGAGTTCGCGTGGGCGAACGCTACATGGGCTCGGTCGTTGGACTTACGTCGGGTCTGGTTTGACAGTTCGCTATCGGACATATCGACCGGTGAGGCAGGGTGTGCGGAGGTTGATGCGAAGGCAAGCAAGCGAAAGGCCAACCAGAGCACGCGATCTTGGAGGGGTTCGCTGGATTCGGCGAAGGCGGGCCTGTCCTTGTTGCGGAATAGAACAAAGGCGTCAAGCCGGTTTCTTCAAGTGGGATCGACGGGAGGCTCGAAGCTGCTGGAGTTTGGGGCTTCCGATTGGGTTCGGTCGGGAAAGGAGGCGGAACATGATCGGTGAAGTCGAGTTCAAGTAGATCAGCAGGTGGAAGTTCGGTATAGGGCAGAGGTAGAGGAGCTCGATTTGCATACGGGAGGAAGCTGTTTGGTCATAGTTGAGTTCCGGCTTTTAAGGGAGACGAGCTTCTTGATTCGGTTCTTGATGTGGTGAGGAAGGAGGTGGAAGTGCAGATTAAGAGCAGTAGAGGCCGCAAAGAGATTGATCTTGCTTTTGGAAGTGGATACGATGATCAAAGATTTCTTAGTGGCAGGACCTTGTAATCAAGATCGTAGCGGAAGATTTGCTTAGATTTTTGAGGTGGAGTCTGGTTGTTCTTAAGGAGCAGTGTCGGGAGTGGCGCTCGCGATGAGCGTTGGCGTGCGGTGCGCGAGGAGGTCGCACGGGAGCACGGAGGAGATGCAGGGCACTGGCCGGACGCGATAGTGCAGGGCTTGGGATTGTGACGAGCAGGGCGCAGGTGAAGGCGCAGGGCTCGGTGCGTAGGTGGATACGCCCAAGATGTGGTTGGAGTCAGACCACATGAGTGCAAGGCGCGGGAGTGGAGCTGGAGGCTCATGGGCAGGCACGGGGCGCAAGGTCCAAGTGGATGCACAGGGCGCGGGAAGCAAGACGCACATGGTGCGTGGTGTTAACCGTCCAGTGGACGCAATTGACGGGGAAGACCGGCGGCTGTTCTTTGTGAACAACAGTTATCTTTTTGTGTAAATCTAGGATTAATATGAAGATTGTTAGATATTGATCCTAGATTTAGGTTTGTAGCTTGTTGTGTAGCCTTTATGTTTATATATAGAGGCTTTATAAGTTGTAATAGGGATGATTAAGAAATAAATTTTTTTTAGTTCTGCAATCTCCCTATTCCCTTCCCTCTCTCCCTCCTCTCTCAAGATCAAGAAGAAAATAACCACTGCAGCTCAGCCAGGAAGTGAATCAGACGCTGGAGGAATAATAAAAATAAATGGAGTGGAAATAAGTAAAGCTATATGTGAACTAAGGTTAAGTATTATATATTAAGACTAGCTATATGTGAACTAAGGTTAAGTATTATATATTAAGACTAGTTAATAGCATCTGAGCAGGAATGTGATCCAGATCTAGGGCTGCAGCAACTTGAGTCTTGCATCATACCCTCTCATTGCTGTTAATTCATTTTTGCAGAGATTAATACTGAAAAATATTGTGTTGTCCTTTCATATTAATGAAAGGTCAAACAGCTTGAAAAGCTTGAAATAAATTGCATTATCTAATTTCAATTGTAATCTATACTACTTTACACTATCATTAGTTTGGTTAACTCTTTGGTTTCTCTGCTACCTGAGTCATTTTTGCTCTTCTGTGATTTTCTTATCTTTTAGCTTGAAACGAAAGGCATATCCACAAGGAAGATTACCTCTCTTTTAAGGCAGTCAATTCCAGCCCCCTCTACAAATCTTTGGTTGGTTCTATGTCTATGCAAGCTTCTAAGAAGTACAAAAACTTTGACAAGTCTCAGCAATTTTATATGAACAGCTCCAATTCTGCAAGAGAATCAGAATCACATTATCCGCCGCAGAAGCATCAATTTGTGAATCATCTTTGCTCCAACGACACATCCGGGTCAAGAAACTCGCCGCATCAGGCCTCTGATATCCATTACTGCACACTGGAATCCTCATCTGTAGCTGGTAGCTATGGAATTCGACAATCACCTAGCATCAGCTTATCTTCAACTACTGGTAGCTCTGTGTCACTGCATGACTCCCTCTCTGAAAGTACCTATGGTTCACCTGCAAGCGTTTCATGCTTAACTGAAGATCCAAATGATCTCAAACACAAGATGAGGGAACTTGAGACAGCAATGCTTGGTTCTGAAATGGATAATGGTGATAGTTTTGAAACCACCTTTGATAGGCAACTCTTTCTCGAACCTGATAAGTGGAAATTATTGGAGATCGCAAGGGGGGACTTAAAGAAGGGCCTCATAGCGTGTGCTCGCGCCGTAGAAGATGACGATCTTATGATGGCGGAGTTGTTGATGACCGAATTAAGACAGATGGTTTCAGTATCAGGGGAACCAATCCAGCGTCTTGGAGCTTACCTTTTAGAAGGCCTCATTGCGAGGTTAGCGTCCACCGGTACTTCAATCTACAAAGCTCTCAAGTGCAAAGAACCTACCAGCTCTGAGCTCCTCTCATACATGCATATTTTATATGAGGTCTGCCCTTACTTCAAGTTTGGGTACTTCTCTGCTAATGGTGCCATTGCTGAGGCTTTGAAGGGTGAGAATGCAGTCCACATTATAGATTTCCAAATTGCACAGGGAAGCCAATGGATATCTCTGATACAGGCCCTTGCCGCAAGGCCTGGGGGGCCGCCGCGAGTTAGAATCACAGGAATTGATGACTCTATCTCTGAGTATGCCCGAGGCACTGGTCTGCATCTTGTGGGGCAGAGACTATCTTGTCTCGCACAGTCCTGTAATGTTCCATTTGAATTCCATGCTGCTCCATTGCCAGGTGATAAGATACATGTCGAGCATCTTTTTGTTCATCCGGGTGAGGCTTTGGCGGTCAACTTTGCCTACCAGCTGCACCATATGCCCGATGAGAGTGTGAGCACTGAGAATCACCGGGACCGAATCCTGAGAATGGTGAAGAGCCTGTCGCCGAAGGTTGTGACCCTCGTGGAACAAGAATCTAACACAAACACTGCGCCTTTCTTCCCAAGATTTTTGGAGACCTTGGATTACTACACAGCCATATTCGAATCAATCGATGCAGTTCTTCCGAGGGATCACAAAGAGAGGATCAGTGTCGAGCAGCACTGCCTCGCAAGGGACATAGTTAATGTCATCGCTTGCGAGGGTGCAGAAAGGGTGGAAAGACATGAACTTCTTGGGAAATGGAAGTCAAGGTTCAGAATGGCTGGATTCACACCGTATCCACTGAGTCCTTTTGTTAACGCAACAATCAAATCACTCTTAGAAAACTACTGCGAACATTACAAACTAGAAGATAGGGATGGAGCTCTATATCTTGGATGGAAGAACAGAGTGTTGTCAGTTTCCTGTGCTTGGATATGAAGCTTTGTAAAACCCTAGCAATTAATCAATGGTGTTTGGAACTTTTTTTTTTTCTGCTTCGTTTCTGCTAAAGTAGAGGCTTTTGTAAAGGGTTTAGTGGCTCATATCGAATTGTACAACTAACTTCTTGGCTAAGATTTCGTGGTTTTAGTTACTGGTACAGGAATAATGTTTCTATAGAATTCCAAATAAGTTGGCGAGCTGATGCTTTCTCATCACGAATGTTCGCTTTTGGTCTAGTTAAATCATGATTATGATTTTTTATAAACTTTTACGCCTTTTAATTTTCATCTTCATCAACTATATACCTAATAATAGCTGGACAATCCGTTCTGGTATTTGATTTTTAAATTAAAATCAAGACTTCTTGAAACCAAATATTGAATAGATAAAGTCCTTACATCTTGTGTTTATAGAATTTAGTTAGTAACTGTGATGTTCCTTGCAAACACTAAAATCAACATATGTGCATAACTGCAGTACACCTTGTATGCCTCCTTGTTGTGTACAATGGAAAAAATTTAAAGAGGAAGCACTCTACAAATATGTGAATAATCTTTCATAATACTTCTCTGTACACATAGTGTACAATTTGTATATATTGTATACAAAATATAAATACTATGTAAAAAAATTTAATACAGTGTAAAAATTAGAAATAGTGTGTATAAGAGATTTAATATAAAATAGTTTGTATATACTGTGTATAAATTTATACATATTGCACATAAAAGAATTCACCTGAATGCAATTTCTCAATGTTTTGGGTTCAATGGTGTAATGTTTTAGTACTAAAAAGTTGTTTTAAGAAATAGTAAGAAAGCCGTCCCAAGCGAAACCTTAATTAAGAATACCAGTTTTTCATCAATAGTGGCTCTTGACAACTGACATGTTTTCTGGAGGCTGCTACGGGAAATTATTGGGTTCAGACACCATACACAACTTACAGTTTGGTACTTCATAGTACCGAGCAGTACTGAGCTCAATTCTGTGAAGTACCAAACTCGGCACTTCACAGTATTGAGCAGTACCGAGCTCGATACTGCTTGGTACTGCTCAGTACCGTGTAGAGGGTGATGTGGCACATTTTCATTGGCTCCGGACGGTGTCCGGTGTCCAAACCCAATAATTTCCTGCTACAAAGGGGTATGGGGCTCCCCATGCTGGTCTTCTTCCAATTATCATGATGGATTATAGTTAGTATTAGCCAATCTAACTTCACCTGTAAAGCTGAAGAGGTCCTTGTTATGAATATTAGCGTCTTGTTACCCTGTAAACTCCAAGGGCTTGTCATTTATCTTCATAGAGTGCTTCCTTGACTAACTCGATGCAGAATATCTGATTGTGTCCTGTATTTTGTTGGTTGTTGACTTCAAACTTCTAAGAGGTGTGATGTCTTTGTCGGAAGGGGGAATGGAAGGTTTCAGATAAGCCTTCATGATTAGCATGAACTTTGAGCAATATTTTAATTGAAAACTTTCATAATTAAATTCAAGATCAGCTTAACTCTGATTTAATAAATTTATAAACGAATCAATCTCAACGAGATGAACTTATCAACATCACAAATGATCCAATTTGAGTCTATATGAACTCAAATTATACACTTGGAGCATACTTGAAAACTTTTGAATATTAAATGAAGGATAAAATGATCTCTAAATCTTACAAGCTTATAGTCAAATCAACTGGCTAGATAAGACCAATCTAATAAGCCCAATATCATTCAATTCTAACATCACTATGGCTCAAATGCTAGATAAATAATTCATTATCCAAGGGATCAATATGGACAGTTCGATAGAGCGTTTTGGATTCTAACCAAATTTACTAAACTGTCCACCTCTAAAAGGCTATAAATTAGACACATCTTTTTATGCGATAGTAGATTCGAGACCTATGAGAGCTAAAGAACTTTATAACATTTTCCGACGATCACAACTGACGACCACAATCAACAATCACCGCTGCCATCGCTGGAATTCTGTTAACCGAGTATTGTTGTTTGACTTTTAACATCTAACATTGTTGTTGGGCTTTAACCATCTGTTTATGAACACCATATTTTTTAATCCCTATAATGTAAATCAAACAATTGATCTCCATTTAGCTAATTCTCTTATATTCCATTCTTAGTGGATTCATTCAATAGGGCCAAATCCCTGATTTTTTGAATTTCTTCCAGGACGTTAAAAAGAGCTTTTCAAAATTATTCTCTCTATCTTCTACATTATTATATAGACCTGCTTCAACATAAACTATCAATGGTATTGCTCTCTAGATTCTTTGGTATTCCCAATTCTGAATGGTTGATCTATCAAAGTGCTAAAGGCTTATTGCTCACATTTGGAGGGTACTAAATGTACCAAAGCTTAATAGGATTGGAAGGTAACACAGTACCCATCAAATACGTCTGAATTGCTGTTGTAGTTGTTTCTTGTATTATCTATTAGAAAAATCAAATTATATTTTAATCATTATTTTTATTTTTTACTCTCTTTGTATCTTCAATGCAGACACAAAAGCTACTGCTGAATCTAGGGGTGTAAGTGTGTGAAGCAGACTCGTGAGTCAGCTTGATAAATCGCTCGTGAGACTAGCTCAATGCATTATTGAGCGAAGTTTGAGCCAACCACGACTGACTGAACTAATTAGCTCACGAGCTGGATCGTATATATATATAATATTATAAACAAGAGTTAAGTATAAAGCAATTAAAATTATTTAAAAACTATATCTCAATTTCTTATATCAAATGATTTGTTATTATTTATCTTCTAATTTTATTCTTTTTTTAAATTTTATTATAATAATTACTCGAATCATAATTATTTTCTCTTTTTAATTATAAATAAGTCAGCTCGAGAGCTAATTAGAACTCGTAGAATTAAGTCTGACCTCGGTTCTCGAGCTCAAACTCTATTTATTGCAAAAGCTTAAAATATTCAGCTTTACTTTTTTATGACCTTTTCTTTTATATTTTTTTTGTGAATTAATGTAAGCAGAACATTACAATTGTATTTCAATTTAAAAAAAAAAAATACAGTTAGCCTCCTGAATAAGTCTTTTTAGATTAAATATTCAACTAATTTGTAATTTTTATTTTAAATAGTGGAAATTATATCTCATTGAACAAATTTAATTATATTTTATATGCAATATTTGCTACTTGAAACAGATTTTTTATTTTCAATTGTGATTATAGGTATTCTTATATGATGCATAATGAATTACTATAAAAATTGATTGCAACTTATCATTTGGAATCATAATGTAATAAATGTTAAATGATCACATTTTTTAATGCCCCAAAAAAAAAAAAAAAAAAAAAAAAAAAAATTTAAAAAAAAAAAAAAAAAAAAAAACTGTATTTAAATATGTCACTATAATGCATTATGTATGGTAATTATTTTATAATTATGGCATCATGCATGCATCACATTAGATGTTAATCACATCAATTCAAAGTGATGGTATGTTATCTTTTATTGAGGTACTTAAGAATGTAGTTTTAATATGTTATGACTTCCATTTATGCGGCGCACATATTTTTGTGCCTCGGTAGCTCGTGTATTATAATAGGTCTAATTTTCAGGCACATTTATGTCGTTCTTTTAACTTTTTTGTTTTGTAGTGACAGCTCTGTTGTTGATGGAAAGTAACTTTTTAGCCTTGTCCTGCAATTACAATGTATTTCATATTTTCATTGCCCATCTTTCGATCATTTATCTCAACATCACCACTACATGCATAAACCTCATACACTCTTATTATCTACATACAAGCTATCACATACTCTTCGTATGTGATTTAGACTTATAATAACTCATGAATAAATTCTTAACTATTATAAGTAAAAATATATTTTTCAAAATTTGGAGTTATATCAATCCACCCACCTTCAAGAAAAACGTTGTCTTCGACATTCCCAATCTCTGATCAAAATAAGTCAGAATAAACTTGGATAGAATTGTCTCTTCTCAGATTCCTTCTCAAAAAGTAGCCTTTCTGATAGTTCCGTGTTTCATCTACTCTTTGACCATCGAAATCTATTTGTTCCTTAATTTCCTTACATCGTACACCAAAATCCTATCCAGCTCTTCTATATGGTGCATGCTCAAATGAACCTCCGCATCATCAACATATAATCTCTTTCCAGAATCAGATACTCACTTCTTTAGATAAGATACATGAAATACATTTTGTATATTGGACATATGATCAAGCAACAACATGTAAGTAGAATACCATTTCTCTCAACAATCTCGAAATGTTCAATGTACCTTGGACTCAACTTATTGATTCTTCCATATATGATGCACCTTTTTACTCCCTAATGCATTTTTTATGTATTGTAAACTCACCCAACTTTGATCGAATTCAATTTTCAAAGAAAACCAATTGCATTGTCGCTGCCCGCCGTAGTCACTACCAACCTTTATTGGTCGCTGCCATACCAACCAAGGTCCGCTGCCGCCTATTGACCATTGTGGCTCCAAGTATTATTGGCATATATGTCTTGTGGGCCCATATGTAGGAAATACATCAATACAATTATTTATTTATTTATTTATATCAGTGAGCTTATATCACATGATTATTGCATTTATGATTATAATATTTTTTTCTATCATATTACTATATTAGTTTATTCACACTATAAATGTTAAGGCACGAACAGAAAACACATAACAGAGGTAGGGTGGAGGAAACGCAACGCAAAGATCATGTAGCGCAGATCTAGTTCTAGGCTTCTGCGTTAAGTCACCAATTCCTCAGTATAGATAAAAGATTTGACAAATACAAAAATCATAAAATTATAATAATATTTTAGAAAGATTTGCAGAAGATAAACCCTAAAATTTAAAAAAGATAGAATCATACTCTGTTGCTTCTTACTTTCAATGAATTTGCTTTGCTTTCTGAAGAGAAATTCCAATTAACGACTTGAGCACTCAATTCTCTTTAGGGTTTAAGAGAACGAAAAATTCAACTCTACTTTCTAATTAGATCGTTGGTTTACAGCAAGAAATTTATCGTTAACCAATTTATCCAACAGATTCCACTACAGCGACGGTACAGTAAATAAGTAAAACGGCAGAAGTTACTATTAAATTCGACTTTCAGATTTTTTCCTGCAATAGAAAACATTTTATTTATTACTCATTTAATTTCTCCGTACTTCCATTGCTTCTTACAGTCGATTAGCCTTCAGATCTCTTCCCACCCCTCTCGCTCCTCTCTGCTTTCTCTCTTTCTCTCTCTCTCCATAAATAATATCTACCTCCGCTCTCTCTCTCTGTTGGCGGAAGGGTGGTTGTTGGCAATTTTAGGTCTTCTCAAGTGAGTTCTCTAGCTTCCGCTTAATCTCTGTTATGTTAAAATGCGAGTTTTCTCTTCGATTTCTGCCACCCATTGCACTATAGTTTGTAAGTATCAACTCAATCCTGGTTTCCATGCGGTAGATTAGTCTTGTTTCCTTGTCTGCAACGCTGGGGCCGTTTTAGTTTCCATGAGGTGGATTGATCTCGTTTCCATGCTTTGTTTGGGTTGATTCTTGCATGATTTGGGGTATGCAAATTCTGAAAATTGAGATCTTGATAGCGTTATGGAAGTTATAAGAGACACCATGATTGCTTCTTTCCTTTTGGATGCTAATTCTGTTTGATTTTTTGGAAGTGGGAAGAATTGGGGCTTTGATAGCCATTTAAGACGTTCATTCGGTGCTCGCTACGCTTAAACATTCTTAATAATCTGCTTAGCCTTGTAGTATTCAATGTCATTGGTCAATATAAACAATTTGTGAACTTGATTCCTCCTTTTGTACTTTTCGCAATCTTTCAGTCGTTTTGAGAACAGTATTCATATTTGCATTTAAATGGTACAGTAGAAGGCTGATTGTACTGTACTTTGGATTTTCTTTATTTCACTTATTTCTTTCAGATCAAAACCATTGTCATTACTCTTGAATAGCTTTGTTACTTTATTGGTATCTGGTCTTTGTGGATTCTGTGGCTGGGTAATTAGTAGGCACTGTTGTGCATAGAATGATGAGATGCGGGCAAAAACTTGAGGAAAACATGGTATGAGTATATCAACTTTATGAAATTCACGGCTGTGCAGACCTGGAAGTGAACTTTGTGTTCAGTGTGACCAACTTTTTTTTTTTATTTTAGGTTCGCCTGGGTAAAGTTAGTCATATATATTTTCTTGTATGCAGCCTATGTGATTTGGAAGTATTAGGTCATTGAGATCATCGAAAGCTACTTCTGTTTTTATTAATTATTAATAAGGATTGGGCCTTCTTCTTACTTTTTCATTTTGGTTAACATACATTTATATTGTTATTTGAGGTTGTTTGCTGGCATTTGAAGGAGTTCTCATTGTAGCTGATTTACATTATTAAATGCTATGGTGAATCTTATAGATTTTCTTTCTTTTTGAATCTTATACATAGGTGTTTCTTATGAAGCATGGAAAGAATCACTCGTCTAGGATGTGATGGAAACAACGGTAAATTGCTCCTATGATGCCAAAACATTGACTGTTGAGTTAGAAATTTGGAATTCCACTAATTTAAAGTGGCTCTGAGCCTCTGTGTTTATAAAGCTAGAAAGTAAATGCATTGCAGTACGGGTGAGTTGGGCATTTTTTTTCTTTTAAATTGTTTCTTTGACTTCCAGTTTCCATCTGGTAAAATAGTTGTAATGAACTTGATGAAGCTGATGGTTGTTACTTTGATCCATGAATTTACTATATTATTGCTTTCTTTTTGGAATACTTGCATGATGTGCTGTTTTTTGAAGGAATTCAAAAATTGAATTTGTGATTTAATGAGTTCGTAAGGTTGGATAATGTCTGTATTAAGACCATTGGGAGAGGAATAACTTCTTTTTCCCCCTACCATTTGAGAGTACAAATACTTTAAAGGTGTCCATAACTTTTAAGCAAAACAAGTGATCTTTGTGCTTATGTTTTGAACAAGACATGAACTATCATTATTTGATGACCACTTTCAATTTGTAGCATCTTTATGAGTATATACGCCGAGCTGAATTTTATATTATTTACATCCTTTTTTAACTACAGCATGAATATGAAATAAATAATATGGAAATTAAATGTACTTGATGATTTTATAAACAGGGATCTAGTTGCATGATTTTTAGGGTAAATTATACATAGGTTATGAAGGTTAACCCGTTATATCATATGTTTGTACTAGAATAATTTTGAGACATCCTTGTGCGCCATCATTCAAATCTTCGTGTCTTGTAGGGTTTCGATTTTCAAACATCTGATACTATAAAAGTTTGACTGAAATTTTATTATTTGGGCATATATGAAATGATTTTAGACAATAATGCTCACAATTATATTAGAATCAAATAGTTCCACAAACAGAGAGAGTCAATGGTTTTGAACAACAAAATCACTAGAGTAATATATGATTTTCACATAATGACAAGAAAAAGAAAGAGGGGTGGGTTCTGGAGGGAGTGAGGGAAGGCATTTCCTTAAAATAAGGACATGTGTGAACAAGTAAAAGAGCCAATAAGAGCAATTTACAAGTCTTTTCATAGTGCGTGATCCATTGTCATGTTTGATCCTCGTTATAAGATATTTGAATAGTGGTTCAATTCTTTTTTTTGTGTCAACATAATGTGTAACATAACATAGGTTTCAATTTAGTTAGATAATGTATACTAAATTTCCTTGTTGTTTTAATGAAGCAAATTCAAGTAAGAAGGCAAGTAATTGAACCAACTTGTCACAAAATTGGAGTCACCAAGATATAAGATGATCTCGTTAATGAACTTGCCCGCTCAAGCCATCAAGACTATTCAACACATTTCTTATGTACTTGGCTAAGCTCTTACCTGACTCGAAGATCACTTGAGCTTGCCAATAAGATCAACTATAGGAGTCACCAAAATATCCAAATATACTTGCCAGTTCAAAGTGAAGTTGCTAATTATGTTTTTAAAGAGACATTTTTCTTAAAGATCTTGTTCTTTCTTTAGATTTCAAGAGATATTCATATAATTAAATAGATACAAGTCAGCCAGGCTAGACATTTTACAATAAACACTTGTTATGCGTTATTTTGTAATTTTATTTGTATTACCCAAATATAACATTTCTTGTAGTGTTTTATATTGACTCGTGCCTTTAAATAGGGGGTTAGAGGAAGTGCATGAGCATTCACTCTGTTATATTTGTCTTGTACTTTCTGACAATTTGGTAAAATTTCTAGTGCTTCTCTAAGTTTTTTTCTCGCATATTCTCTCTCTTGATCATGTTATTAATATTTTGGTGTCATCCTCATATAATTTAAGATCAGATAGTAATTGCCATTGTCGAAAGTGAGGGATCCATCCTAATAAAAATCAAGATGTTGTCACTACCATACAACTTAGCCAGATAGAAAAGGTTTGTGATAAGGATGATTCAAGGAATTTTGGAGTGAGTGCCAAGGATCACTTCACATATTGAAATTGACAAAGAAGGATCTTTTGACTCTATAATTCAAAAACAACTGAATTTTAGACACTGGACTTCATCTTAAATAATTGACAAGGCTTACCTTCTTGAAATCATTGTGGAGACTCAATCTCAACATTCTGAGAAGTGTTAACTTGAATTCACGAATTTGTTTTTTTTTTGGAGATTCTTGAAGTTTAGCCTCAAATCATCGAATATGTTTTTTGATGAACAGATCCGGTAAACCATGTTACTTTCTTTAAGTCAGTCATTTCACTCTTAAATATAAATGATGGTCTCGAATATATTTTTTTTAACACTTAAGGAGTCACCATTGAGATGTCTTTCCAACTCCGTCTTGGGATTATCACTTCCTTTTTTGGGTTCAAGAAATAGTTTGTGACTCAGTTTGCTAATGCTCAAAAATCTTTGAAGAATTCTCAATCATTGTTGAGTATATAAGGTAATAAGAAGATGAATCTCTGAGAAATTTCATTTTTCATTTTCATTGTAAAATGTTGTAAAAGATTTGGAGTTGGTAGTGGCAAAAGCTGCACTTACTCAGAGCAAAGTCTGTTTTGATTCGCCCTCCGGCTTGCAACTGCTAGTAACATTATTCTAGCTGTTTGAACTCACCAATAGCTACATCAACGTAGAAGAGTATAATAGTAGTTTGACTGTTGACATCAACTTGCCCTATAAACATTGGATTTGCAGAGCATCCACAATGTCGGCTTGTAAATCATAGGGGGGAGTTTTTGCCACATGAGCAACACTAATGCCACAATGCTAGAAATTTTGCTGTAGATAGAGAGAGGTCCCTTGCCTTGATAATATCTAAGAATCACTCTTCTGAGAGTTTCTTTAGTGGAAGTTGTAGAAGCTATTCACAACAATTATTATTTTTGATGACTAGTGTTGCTGATGTTTGGTGCTCATGCTCAAGATCCTTCAAAATATTATGTGTTTCCCAAAGACCATATAGCTATGGCAGAGCAACAAATGGGAATGCATATAATGATGCCATTGTTGTCACTACGGGAAGTTCTGCCAACATTATTTTCAAAAGTATCTTTGAAAAGTTGAATCTTGATTTTTCAAGGTTGGCGCCCATTGTTGGTTTGCTATAAGTTTGTTTGGTGAACACAAAAGATTGAAGGAATAACCATGTTGCCAATTACTTGGGAAGAATGAGAATGCCAATATATTACCACAATTGACTTCTTTATATTTGAACCCCCAACAGCTTATAATGGCTATATTTGGTCGCTCTCTTATAAACCACTTCACGATATTTGTTTTTACTTATCATATTGTTATGAAATCTTCAACAAGAGGTCACACCATCACTACAACAACAAAAACATCAAGCATTTATTCCACTATATGGGATCGGCTATATGAATCCTTTTTCTTCATTGAGCCCAATTAAAAATTAAATTCTCATTTAAAGCTAATAAAGAAAGGTCATCTAGGGCCTATGATGCACCGACACTTCTCCTAAAAGAGGCGTGCACTCGCCCGACACCATGTCCGACACGACACTCGCCCGACACTCATCCGACACGTGTCGGATACGTCGAAAATATGTCCGATTAAAAAAATATTAAATACAAATTGGACACGCTTATCTTAAATATTTTATAATTTTTTAATAGAATTTCTTGTATTTGACGGGATTTAAACTAAAGTTCTTATTTCATATCCACAACACCAAATCAACGTTCGCACTTAATAGTTAATACCCAATCATTGAATATTCTCATTTTCATTTTTTTTGGTAGTGAAGGTATTTTCATCTCATCTAACGGTGACTAATAAACGGTATCGACGTCTGACTCTCGACATCCTAATACTAATCATTCCCAGCACAAATTCTAGTTAAATGACTTATTATTTTCAAATTATTTTTAAAATTATACTTATTTAATTTTTATATACTTTTTTTTAAAATAAAAAAACTATAATACCGTGTCCAACCCGTGTCTGTGTCCTATATTTTCAATAATTGACATGTCCCGTGTCCGTGTCGTGTCGTATTCGTGTCGCTGTGTCTGTGCATCATAGTCTAGGGCACACCATCACTATCCGAGAAAATTAATTGCAGTGGAGGATCTTATTTGAAAGCTGTGGGGGATGTTCAAAGAGAAGTTTTGTTACTCAATGTTAGAGAGAAGTTGAACTCAAGACCTTGAGACAATTGAGGTGGTTAACATTTCTAAAGAAAATTCAAATCACATTATTAGAATTAGCATCTCGTTTGATCAGGTGGAATTGGAAGAATACATTAAAACTCTCTGTTCAAATGCTTGAATTTTTTCCTAATCAGATGCAATGATTAAGTGTTAATTTATTTTTTCACATGCTTACCATAAATACATCAATAAAACCTATTAAACATAAGATTTAACAATGCAACCTTGGACAAACCCATCAGTTGTGAAGTCACCAATTACTAGATATTGGATTCTTCTAAGAAGTGTATCTGGATTGGATTTCAAATGTTGTTATTGCGCAACAATCGAATGGAAAATGGAGAATATGCACAAATATGATTTTAACTTGTCATTAGGGGCTACTATCCATTCTCCAGAATTAATGCTTTGATTGATTGATTTGAATTTCTTGCCATGAACTTTCTTAATGCCTTATTTTGTTATTACCAAATAAAAATGCACCTGACTGACTATGAACATCAATGTTTATTACTAGCTATGGGTTGTACTTCTACAACATCATGCCATTGGTTTGAAGAACATGGCTGTAACATATTAGAGAAGGATGGATTGTGTATTCAAAGATCATCAGGGCTGCAACATTGAAATTTATATTGATGATCCGTTAATAAAGAGCAAAATTGCAACATAACACATCCTAGATTTACAAGAGGTGTTCATAATCTCGAAGAAATATAATATTCATTTCAATCCTTTGAAGTACACATTTGGTGCTAGACCTGAAATTTTTTTGAATTTTTTCCTTACTACTGAAGCAATTAAAATGAATCTTGACAAGGTGAAATCAATATTTAAGATACCTCCACCAAAGACAACAAAATAGCTCCAATGACTTGTTGGGAGAGTTATAGATTTAAGACTTTTCAACTCAAAGTTTGGAGATAAATGCTCACACCTTTTTAAAAGCGTAGAAGTACAAAGGTGACTAAGCTTTCACTTTGTTGAAAGCATTTCTTTCCTCGCTATTGCTACACTAAAGAGCAGGAGAAGAAGCTTTTAGTTATGTTTTGGTTAAAAAAGATAAGGAGAGCCATTTACTTATTTATTATGCTAACAAAAAATTTTCAAAGAGCAAAACCAATATATCCAATCATAGAGAAATTAGCCTCGACCTTTCTTATGGATTGACAACTTTGTCCCATCTTTCAGGCACAATTTAGGTTGTCACAAATCATTGTTTAAAAGCAGTATTATTTAAACTAGATCACTCAGGTTGACTTTTGAAGTTTTTTATGAAACTCAGTGAATTTTAAATTTCTTACATGCTAAGGACTTTCACTTTGTTTCATAAAAAGAGATAGCAATAAAAGATGACTTGTTCTAGACTCTCTATATTGTTTGTGCCTTAGGAGTTTAAGGAGTTGGATCAATTCGTTTATTGAATATATGAATTTAGCAAAAAAAATTATCTGTAGTAAAGCTCAAATTTTCCACGGAAGAAAGTTGTAAGTAGATTGATTATTAATTTTCCACGGAAGAAAGTTGAAGGTTCAATGAATAGTCCCATAATTAGAGGGTTTTTGCTCCATCAAATTTTGAAGAACTGTGTTGTTGAAGAAATACGAATGATGGATTCATAAAATGTCGTGATTTGCTGGAGAAATTGAGAATTCATGCTTTTATTAGAGAAGAGGGAAAGGACTGTTTTATGAACTTCTTTGATTCAAATGTTCGTGAGAAAAGATTTGGTCCTAGGAATTTCGTGCTCTATAAAATTAATGCTACGGCAAAATAATCAATTTTTAATAAACTAGGGTCTATCTTGTAAGACTCTTATATCTTCAAAGAGCAAGTCGGTCGTGGAATCTGCTGACTACAAACTCACAAAGAAAAAGAAGTGTCAGAATGCCAAGAATGTGTATTCAATACAACTTAAAAGATCTTTTATTCATGAGAAAAGAGAAGTGCCCCTCTAAAATATCTATTGCAAATTAAAAAAAGTTTCAATGTGAATGAATGACACTGGCCATTTAAAGAACATAAGTTCTTTTTTTTTTTTTTTATCGTTGTAGAAATAAATTCTTTTAAGAAAAAATTTTTCTCTTAAAAATTTGAAAAACTCATTCCTAAGAAAGAAATTGGGGAACTCGTCACTTAGAAAGAACTCAAACAACTAATCTCTCAAATGTATTTCAAAAAACTTGGTTCTAAAGAAAACTTTGAAATTTATGTAATTAGAACTTGAAAAACTATTGAAAAATATTGATCTAGTAGAAGCCAAGAATCGATTTTTCTACTTAAAGTTGACCAACTTTAATTTTGAGAGTTAGCACATTGATGACTCATATTAACACATTAAAAACTTTATTGTATGAATGAAGACTAGTACGATTAAGCAAAAGATAGTCAAACTTAATATTGACCTCATTTTTGGCACGGGTCACTTGCATGAGCTTATCACTCGAATTTCATAGGTAGATACAGTTGTCTGCATGTTGCATTGCTTTATAATTGGTGAAGGGTAAAATCGTGCATTTTTACATCGATTCGCCCTCGGCCTTAGGATTACTCCTTTATGATCACATGTCCTCTATTTCATTCTAAAATGCATGTGGTCGGGTCGATCGTATTTTATATGATTTCAAACGTTTGAGTCTTTATCACGCATCTTTGTTTTGTGCTTAATATCTTTTGATCGGGACATTGTTTTGCAAAACGGATTGCACGAGCGTATTTAGATCGCCAAAATCTTCCATCGAGCCCGTTCGCGCTCAAATCGGACACCGTTTTACGTGTGTCGAGGATATAGTGAAATCTAGTGCAAAAGCAGAATATCGAACTATGTTTTTGGGAATATGTGAGCTACTATACAACAACAACAACAACAACAACAACAACATCAAGCCTTTATCCCACTACGTTGGGTCGGCTACATGAATTCTTTTTCTCCATTGTGTCCTACTAAAAGTCAAATTCTCGTTTAAATCTAATAAAGAAAGGTCATTCCTAATATGTGAGCTACTATGGATCAAAATAATTCTAGAAGACATAAAGGTCAAGTGGGATGAGCCCATGAAGCTACATTGTGATAACAAATCAGCATAGTCCATAATCCAGTCCAGCATGACAGGACCAAGCACATAGAAGTGGACAGACATTTCATTAAAGAAAAATTAAATAGTGGTCTAGTAAGTATCGACCATGTATCATCAAAGGATCAACTTGCAGACATTCTTACCAAAGGACTGGACAGTTCTGCCTTTCTCAGACTGATTGACAAGCTGGGAATGACAGATCCATTTTTCCTAGCTTGAGGGGGAGTGTTGAAACCCAGCCGTTCCCTGTGCAAAGGATCTGACTGTCACAAGAGCAATCCGTGGGAAGCGCTCATGAATCACGTCGAAACACCTTCCATAGATGGGAAGCTGATTTAGGAAGAGTTATTCTTCATTATTGTGTAGTTATTTGTTTCCTTATTAAATATTTTGTATAGATCTATATATAGAGAAGAATTTATGCAATAACACTCAAGCTTTTTCCCTCTCGTACCTCTCAAATTAACATTTAACAATAAGGAAAAAAAATCTTAGGATGAGAAGAGAGGATGATGAGAGACTCACGATTGGGTGAAGGAGAAGCTCATTGGCGATCAATTGCTTGCTCAGGCTTTGGATTTGGAGAGTCGAGGTGTCAACAAATCATCTTTGGCTGAATTGAGGCAAGGGTGGGAGTAATGGAGTGGCTTGGGGAAAATAGAATCGAGGAAGGGTTGTTTGCTTGTGGTTATGTCTAGTCATCCAATAACTTAATTCTTCAGTAATGCTGGCAATATCAAGCTATTTCACTTTAGTGTAGCAGTTGGGTGATTAGGGGTAGGGAGGGAGAGAGGTGGAACTCAATAACATATATTTGGCTTGGGAGAAAGGTGGAATTCATGTAGGCGTTTTCGTTCATGAGCACATGCGAGGGTCTACATAGTGCACCGTTCACGAGCAGTTGAGCACTTGTGAGTGTTTACATAGTGTATAGGCCAGATGTCTCGTAGGATGCTATGTACTTACTGGAGGGACGTTGGGTAGTGGTGTGGCTCTCGGTGAGATGAGTACATGAGGTGTTGCCATGTTGTGGGTTGTTGAGTGGTTGCAAACATAAATCCAACTCTCTAGGGTACCACTAGATACATGATATAAATTGGGAGGGTGATATAACTATGCTGATGAGAGATAGAAAGGAGTTAAAGAATGAGGGAGGAGAGGGGGATTGAATCAGGGCTTTGATTCTATATAAGAGATTTAAATGAGGTTTAAATGAGGACTGGCATATTTTCTTATTGTGTCAACATAATATATAATATGATAGATCATTTGATTTAGGCAAATTACAATAATTCTATAAATCAAATTAGTCCTACTAATGCATATCAAATATTTGAATAGAATATTTATAAATAAGGAAACTAACTATGATTTTATTTATCATCATTGGTCATGACCCAACTATTTGGATTAGGCTTTTACCAATCCTTTTTTTGTAATCATATTTTTATTTTATTTAGGGTTGCATGTTGTGTTAATTCAAGTTCTTTTAATATCTATATGAATTCAGACCACATGTAGGCTATAGTATAATCCGTATCCATCGTTGCATTTTTTTTTAATTCTAGCCCCATACCTATCATAGTTCATTTGCTCTTTGTTATGCATGTACAAAACATCTCATTAAGATATCGACCGGTTCGGTATATATTAAATTTGTTTATACGTAATCATGCCAATTGGATATGGGCTCTTAAATTGCTATAGAAGATGCTATGAGTTTGATGCTTTTTTTTTTATCTTTATTTTTTTTGTAGAACCATATTTATTAGCATCCATACTTTCACTAGTTAAATTGGAACCATATTGCCATTTTGCATCTGTCTTGATTAGTATTTTTTAAGGATAAAACCTATCTCGTATATTTTTCTATTTTTTATGTATATGATCAAACAGTTTTGATCTTATAAAGGGAGAAAGAGATCCTACATGCCACCGTCATTAGGTCTTGAACCATACCAGTACCCTGAAAATCAGGGAATTCACCACTTGAATCAAGGCCTTTGATACCTCATGTCTTGATTTTGATTATTTTGGCATTAAGTGAGCTTTCCCTATTTTCAAAATTTTCGTTTATAGTGAAACTTGTCAAAGATTTTAGTTGCCATGGATGAGGTGCTTACTATTTTATGAAGAATCAAAGTAAATAATGGTTAGGGGTGTCAATTTCTAACACGACCCGAAAATCCGACCCAAAAAATCCGGGTCCGATTTGTGAAACGGGTCGGGTCCGGGTTCGGATTTTTGACACGATTGAAAAATTGGTCGGGTTCGAGTTGACCCGACAACCAGCTGGTACTACTTTCAAGTTAATAGAAGAGTTCCTTTTTGAAGTGATAATTACCTAAAGTGTGGGCTTCGAATAATGCTCAAGTTGCCACTACTATGATCTGAATTCGCTGATTCAAATCACAGAAATAACCCCCCTATGCAACATTTAACTTATTTTCAGAAATTGTTTAATCCTTAAGATTGTTCTAATTATATTCAAAGCTCTTGGTACTACTTTCTTTCTGATTTAACTAGATTATTTCCTGTTATTTTTCCTCTCTGGCAGTGTAGTTCTCTGTGGCATTCAAATTAAATCTGAGGTCGCATTGAAAAAAAAAAAGGATGGCATTTTATGCAGAAGAGGAACATAGTCAGGATTATCTTTTCAAAATTGTGCTCGTTGGTGACTCTGCCGTTGGGAAATCAAACCTGCTTGCTAGATTTGCCCGGGATGAATTCTACTCAAACTCAAAGTCGACCATTGGAGTTGAATTCCAAACTCAGAAGATGGTAATCGATGGCAAGGAAATCAAAGCTCAGATATGGGATACGGCTGGGCAGGAGAGATTTAGAGCTGTAACTTCTGCATACTACCGCGGCGCTGTGGGAGCTTTAATTGTTTATGATATCAGCAGACGCCAGACATTTGAAAATGTTGGCCGTTGGCTCAATGAACTAAACAGTAAAGCTTTCTCTTTTAGCTTTCTGATATGAAAAAACCTGTTTGCATTCTTCAGTTCTTAATTTTCCATAAGATTTATTCATCCATACTTTTTAGGAAAATTTACATATATACCACTTTATTTCATGCTATTTACGTATCTAATACCCAAAACATTTATATTAAATGCATACTATCCATATACAACTTTAATATCAAATATACCACTCCTATAATTCATTTCTACCATTCATACCATTTTATAAACTTTAATATTTCATTCGATGCACTCAAATTTGTTCTATGAATGGTAGACATGTAATATTAATATTTTGGATATTAGATATGTAAATAGCATAAAATAAATGGTATGTATATAAATCTCCATTTCTACCCTTCATACCATCTTATAAACTTTAATATTTCATTTGATGCACCCAAATTTGTTCTATGGTTGGTAGACATGTAATATTAATGTTTTGGATATTAGATATGTAAATATCATAAAATAAAGTGGTATGCATGTAAATCTCTCTACTTTTTAATGATGAACAGCTCACTCTGACATGAATGTGGTGACCATCCTGGTCGGCAACAAGTCGGATCTCAAGGATTCGAGGGAGGTGAGCATGGAGGAAGGCAAAGCTTTGGCAGAGGTGGAGGGTCTCTTCTTCATGGAGACCTCGGCATTGGATTCTTCCAATGTTGCGACTGCATTTCAGACTGTTGTGAAGGAGATCTATGACATTCTCAGTAGGAAGGTTTTTCAATCACAGGAGAACAAAAAGCAGGAGAACCTGTTGCTTTGGAATGGAAAGACTGTGGCCATAGAAGGTGAAACCAGTGATGCGGAAGAACCAGTTCGCAGATTTGGTGGCTGTTGTTCATTCTAGATTGCTTCTTCTCGCCATTGAAAATCAATGTAGATCATATATCTTTGCAAGCCATGGCTGGACAAGATGAAGTATTTGTATCATATCTGTTGTGTGCTTTATTCTTGATCTTGACAGCTTGATTCTATTGATTATTGACGTTTTGGTGTGCCATTTCTCCTTATTGTGGCTTCTGTCACTTCAGTAATTGTAACTTCTTCTCTGCATTTCTCTAAAATAAAAGTTAACAGGCTCTGATCTCCTATGTGAACTAACTAAGGTTTCGTTTGGGACGGCTTTCTTTCTGCTTCTTAAAACAATTTTTTAATTAAAAAATTAAATTATTTATATTAAAAAATTATTTTAAGAAGCAGTAAGAAATTAAAATTATAACTAAGAAAGTTATCACAAACTTACCTGATTAAATACTAAGAAGCTCAGATATGGTTTATATAATTATGTCTAATATAAGTTACATAAAGGAATTCAAATTATAACTTACCTGATTAAAAACAATTAGAAAAATTTCTGCTGGATAGTCTGGCAATGAATTACGCTTGTGTTCAGCTAATTTGGGAATTTTTTTTAGATAATTTTTGTTCGTTATTTTTTTGTTATTTTCAAGAAAATTTCTATATTAAAAAATTATTTTAATGATTATTTCTTAAATAATTTTTTAGTATAAAAATTAATAATTTTATATTACTAAGAAAATCATAACAAACAAAGTCTTAATCGGTCTGCACCATAGATTATTCTTTTTGACATCTTTGAAGCCCTTTCATCTCTTCTAGAAGATGTGAAGAAGCTTCTAGAATGCGAAGAAGCTTCTAGAAGATATATTATTTAAATTTAGCTTATAGATTATTCTTTTCAACAATTGGAAATGTAGTTCTCTCTCTTTTCTTTAATTTTTTTTTTTTGAAAATCATTTAATAATAATTTTATTTGCTTAATTTTTAATAATATATCTTTTTTTTATTTTTAATAATTAAATTAAAATTTTCAACTTCAAACTAATAATATATAATACAACATGATTATTTATTTTTAATTGAATTTAAAATATTAATAAATTTAAATATATTTTTTATTTTATGAAAAAAGTAATTATCATGACATTTTAATATTTCTTAAGTATAATATTATAATATCATTCCTGTATGAGGCCCTTTGAGGCCTTTATGTTGTTATTCTGCAATCAGTGGAATAATGCAATGGTCTTTTAATTAAGAAAATATAATACATCTTGAAAAAAGGTATTTAATATTATATGTACCTTAATTAATGCAAATATAACCAAAATTTAGTTGTGATTTTGGTTAAATTTTGTCAAAATAGTTTTGCATATATCCTATTATCCTGTTTTCCTCTCATTGTAAGCTACATGCTGGATTTAATAAATCCTAGGGAAATGCAATTTTAGAGAATTACATCACTGTGGTTGTGAATTTTTTTTTTTCATTTATTAAAATCACAAATCTTAAGAATATCCATCTAACATTTGGTAGGATCACGTTAGATAGTTGTTAGGATTTAAAGCCTCTATGGTATTTATTTGATATGTCATCAAAAATAGCCTTGATTGAGCAAGAATTGCGAGGCATATCCAAGTTGAAAACTTTCAAAATTAAATTCGGTACCATCTAAACTCCAATTTAAGCAAACTTATAGTCAAATTGAGAGACTCAGCGAGATGAACCGAACGACACCAAAACGGGTCAAATCCGAGCTCAAATGGGTCCAAATCAAGGGACCAAAGCATATTTGGATGCTCAAAAGCATTGATTGGATGACCAAATGAAATCCAAATATAGCATGCTTATGGTCGAATCGAAGAGACGAATCTAATGAGCCCAAGATCTCTTAATTTTGACATCATCATGACACTTAAATGCTTGATTAACGTTCTATGATAAAGGGAATTGATATGAGTTGTCCGATGGACTATTTCAGTTTTGCTCTAGATCTTCTCCATATTTATGGTGCATGCCATTTATAAAAATTTATAAATAGGCCAATGCTCTCTTCAAGAAATGACACTTTGGATGGAGATTGGATAGAGCTCTAAGGCTTTAAGGATCTTAAAGTTCTACCCAAGCACCACCGCAGACAAACTTTCGGAAACCACCGCCAGTCCATTGACTATCATTGGACCACCGCCAGTCCATTGACTGTCATTGGACCACCGCCCATCCTATAACTCACACAAGACCACCGTCGGACCTTTGCAAGGTTATCGAATGTCGCCAAACCTCCGCTCGTTCGTCGATTGCCACTGAACCTTCACCTTGTTGTTGATCGTCGTCGAACCACTACATGTCCGTTGATCACCACCAAACCTTTTCCTAGTCATTGACCGCCACCAGACCTCTACCCGGCTACCATTGATACACCACTAACTAAAGTCTCCCTTCGAATACGATCTCTCCGACCACCATCGCCAACTGATTACAATCCTTTTGATCTCCGTCACCTACCGATTAAGGTCCCTCTACGACAATCGCCCAAATACCAAGTCCCTCTGAGCTCCTTAGCTCGCCAACTACGATCCCTCCAACCACCATCGTCCGCTCACTACGATCACTCTGACCACCATCGCCCGCCGAGTACGGTCCCTCTAACCACCGTCGCCTGCCAAGTACGGTCCCTCCGACCACTGTCGCCCGCCGAATACGGTCCCTCCGACCTTCGTTGCCCATCGACCATGATCCCTCCGACCACCATCACCAACTGACTACGGTCTCTCAAACCTCCTTTGCCAGCCTACTATAATCCCTCAGACCATCATCGCTCGCCAACTACAATCTCTTCGACATCTGTTGCCCGCCGACTACGGTCCCTCCAACTGCCGTCTCCCTCCAGCCACCTTCGCTAACCAAGTACCATTCCTCCAACTTATATCCCCCGTCGACTATGATCCCTCTTATCTTCGTCGATAGTCTACTATGGTCCCTCTGACCCCCATCACATTTAGATTGTTGTCCTTATGACAACTGTTGCCCGTCGACTACGATCCCTTCAACCTCTGTCACATGCCAACTATAGTCCATCCAACCTTCGTATCATGCCGACTACAATCCCTTCGACCATTGTAGCCCAACTACGGTCCACCGCCAAATGAATAGGCCCAAATTCTCTTGAGAACAACTCTCATATCACTAGTTCTTCCAAATCCCATCATGTATTATGTTCTATATGATGTATATTTGCTACATCGAGCTAATGCCTTCTCCCCAAGGAAGGGCCTCGTTTATAATCAACAAGAAATACTAGTATAGTTATTTTAATAGGGTCAGGCCCCTTGGTTTTTTCACATAAAAAATTTTGTGTCTCTCCTAACTCTTACACCTCTCTCTTTTCTTTGTCTCTGTGCTAGATCCTCATGCAAAGCTTGGATGTTAAACTCAATATCTCTCTACTGCCATGAATGTTCCACGACACAACATTACTAAATGTGGATCTACAAGCATTACTATATCCTACTTGAATGAAATCCAAAGATTTGGCTTAAATCCTACTAATTAGAATTTTTTTTTGAATTTTAATTTTCATTATTTTGATAAATACAATTTTGTTACAATTCTGGAGCTCGACGATTACAAATATTATTGAATGTTTATTTTCTTATTTATGTATTATATATTGCATATTTTTTGTGTGTTAGTAACCTTTTCGGGTATAGCATACTATAAGCAGCATTAAAGAAAAAAGGCTCAATGTCGTTGTAGCATCGGTGTATAAGTTAGTATGTGTTCTACAGAGTTTGTATTTTTTTTTTTTTTTGAGTCATTTTTTATATTAGGTGTATATTGGCTTAACAATCGTGCACACACACATAAGGGGGAGTAAATTTGATATTTGAATTTTGTTTTATAAGAGTATTGTATGATTACATCATTCTTAAAATAGCCGATCTTCCTACACGATATGGTAGTCATACAACACGATTAGTTATATATAATCTTTATTGATGATTATACTATACAATAATCAATCATACTGTACAATCATCAATGGTATTGGATGATCAACAGAGAACTCTTCTGTACAATCTGTTATTCGATTCAACTAATAGGTATGATCATATGGCTTAAAATTAAAAATTAGGATTTTTTTAGAGTCCACTTTACAAACTCTTGATATAAAGTGAGGGTGAGAATTTTGAGAGTTTTAGAGATGCCTTTCTTATGTGAGAGAACTTGGAGCGAAAGTCTACAACACAAAGGAGAGAGAGGAGGTGAGGTTAAGAGATGGAGAGTGCATTGAGAGAGTCAAGGGGTGTAAGAGGGATCACACGATTGCTTCGACTAGCCTGCAACTTGGATATTTTGGTTGTGTTTTTGGTGGAGCTCTTGGATGAGAGCTCTATGAAGGAGAGCCTTTGGACCAAAAGACTTTTACTAGCTGAAGAGGATAGGGATCAACATCTTTGTTAGGCTAGAAAGCAAAATGAGAGATCGACAACTCCACTAGAGCATGGAGCTAAAGGAGGGATGACATCTCCGCTGGGCTTGGAGGCGAAATGATGGATCAACATCTACACCGGGTCGAGGGACTGAAAGGAGGAACGACATCTTTGCTTGGCCAATGAGGCGAAAGGAGGTACTATATCTTCAACGACTTGAGAAGGCGAGAGAAGGGAGATTCTTTGTTGTATGAAGAGTTTTTAAATGTCATTCATATGGTCAAAGGAGAAGGGCTTCTCCACCTGATTGTGTGTCGAAGGAGAGGCATATTTAGTGCAATACCCAATAAGGAGAACCTTTAGGGTGTTGATCTTGAATTTGGCAACAAAAAAAAATCATAAATTTTTTGTTGATGAGAGAGAAAGAGAGATTTCCTATCACAAATTTCCCATATTTTTATCTTCCCTTTTTTCAATTGCAGATGAGAGAGAGATGTGATGGCAAGATTGAAATGCAATAATATCTTTTTATTTTTATCTTCCCTTTTTGCCCTTTTTTCAATTACTGTTGATCTTATAAAAATAATTTGGAAGGTAGGACACATTTACCTTACATCAGGTAGTTTTTTTAATGATTTATATGATATATAACATATTATTATTTTAATATTTAATAATAATTTTTTATGCTAACTATCTTAACGTGACAGATGAAAAAATAACATTATCATACAACTTGTTAAATTGATGATGGAAAGCTTTTTATTTTAACAAATGTGGAGGAATTATTCTGTGCGGAGATCGGACGCAGATCATTGTCCGGAGATCAAACAGAATGCGCCACGTTAGCAGTAACGAGCCGAGGTACTGAGCAGTATTGAGCTGCGGTTTCAAGCACAGAGGTGATGTGACGCATTCTGATCAGCCTCCGGACGACATTCAACGTCTGCATAAAATAATTAATCACAAATGTGTGCTAAGAAGCCTAAGATAAACTTTACTTTTTTTATTGTCCGCTTGAATGTTTTGATGATTTTGTGACCTCTTTTACATTTACTCAATGACTCTCATTTTTTTTTAAATAATTATAATTTTTCCTTCTAATTTCTAAGCCAGACATGGGCCCCATCATATGACGTGCACGTTTTAGTATTTTGAACCAGGCGAAAAGTCAGCCTGTTTAATAATAATTTTCTGTCAGCTATAATTTATCTGAATATCTATCTGTTCGCATAAAATAATATCCAGTACGTGGTACTAGGTCTAGGTAGAATTGGCAATAATAATAAGTTAAACTTTACGAGTAAAGCGCAGCCGAATCATGAAGCAAGTTTGCTAGGGTTTTCGCTTGTGCTTCTCCTTTGCGATTTTTCTGGCCGCCTCCCCTCCCTCCACTCCGAGGAGGACCGCCTTAGGGATGTCCTCCTCCACTCTCCCATCCCTCACGCTCCCTTCTTCTTCCTCTCTGCTTCCGCGAGATTGGAAAAGTCTTTTTGCTACCCAGCCTCTGGTTTCAAACGATTTCACCTCCTCAATCACCCATTTTCCAACTGAAAATGCTACGGCTCACTTCACTGCTGCTCAGTTCTCTGCTGGTGCTCCCGAATGGGCGCTCTCTCTGGTCGGCTATTCCATAGGGCGAAGGCCCTACTATGGAGCTCTGTTGGCCACCATCAACAAGACATGGAAGCTGAAAGGTACTCTTTCCCTTTTGACTTTAGATGATGGTTTTTTCCTCTTGAAGTTCAACAATCGGGAAGACTACGACATGGCGTGGTCCGGTGGACCCTGGTTCTTTTTCGGTAAACCTTTTATCCTTCAGCGATGGACGTCGGATTTTGTTCCAAAGCGGGAGGAGTTCCCTTCCATCCCGTTGTGGATTAAAATTAAGAATTTTCCCTTGTCTTGCTGGACTCCTGAGGGGATTTCAAAGATTGCTAGCTGTGTTGGTGTTCCACTAGCCGTTGATGCCCTGACTGCCGCAAAAACCAGACTCACTTTCGCTCGTGTGTGCGTTCAGGTTAGCAGCTCTTCTCCCTTGCCGGATGAAATTTATTACACGGTGGATGATAAAACCTTCCCTCTTACCGTTATCTATGACTGGAAGCCTGTTCCTTGCACTTTTCGCTAATAATACGCTGTAATTACTATGCGTTGCGACGACTATTCCATGTCAGTTTTAAGACCGACGGGGTAGCATTTGTGAATCGCTTGCTTCAGCAGCAGTTATAACCGGTACAAATAACTAAATTTGTGCCGGTTAAAACCGATACAAATTCGTCCAATCTGAACAAATTTTTATTTTTAGAAGCGGTTCTAAAACCGCTCCTAACAACTAATGCGAAAATCCAGATTTCTAGTGAAGACAAAACTAAAAGTCCAAATTTTCAAAAACATAACTTAAATGATAAAATACATTGGCCAATATCATTGTATATATAGGTAATATTTTTAAAGACATCTTTCATATTATTTTATAAAGTAATCTTTTAGTATTAAATTAAAAAAAAAATTGAACTAAAAAGCTCATTTAGAAAGCAATTCCAAATGAAACCTTAAGCTTCATTTGGGACAGCTTTCTTACTAATTCTTAAAGTAAATTTTTAGCATAAAATTTTTAATTTTTAAATTAAAATAAGAAATAATAAATCAATCTCAATTTATATTAACAAATACTGATAAATATATTATTATTCAAAAACTATTAAATATTGTATATAATTATTTTCAACATATAACATCCCTTAAATAACACGGGCTTTAATTAGTACTTTCAAAAATCATAAAAAAAAAAAATTTCAAATTTATAGAAATTCAATTCATAAATTGAGTATTGTTCTTTATTTCAAGCCTTGTTTCATTTGGACTATAAAAGTCGTGCTAATGAATGGCAATAAAATATCAGAGTCGAGATTAAGGAGGCCACAATCATGGAGGTTCTCTACACTTCCCTCTTCCTGATCTCATTAATCATCCTCTTCCTCACGCTCAAGATCTCCCATGCGAAGCAGCGTGGCAGAGAACCCCCAGGGCCATGGAACCTCCCCATCCTCGGCAGTCTCCACCGCGTCGTCGGCCGGCAACCTCCTCACCACTCCTTCCGCAACCTCTCCGCCGTCTACGGCCCCATCATGCGCCTCAAGCTCGGGGAAATACAAGCCGTCATCATCTCCTCCGCCGAAGCCGCCAGAGAAATCTTGAAGACCCACGAAATCTACTTCGCCTCACGCCCCGTCAACGACTCCGTTAACGCCATCTTCTACAACGCCAACAACATCTTATTCGGCCGCCACGGCGAATTCTGGCGCGAGATGCGGCGGCTATGCACCATGGAGTTGCTCAGCACGAAGCGCGTTCGGTCGTTCAGGGCTGTGAGGGAGGAGGAGGTATCTCATCTCGTCGAATTCTTAGCGGCTTCTTCCGGTGATCTTGTCAATATTAGCAGTAAGATGGCAGAGACTGGCAATAACATCATGGCTCGGGCGGCGATTGGGGGTCGATGCGACGACCAGAAGATGTTCTTATCGGCGCTGGGCGATGCGGTAGAATTTTTGTCGGGATTCACCATTGTGGATTTGTTCCCCTCCATGCCGTTCATAGGTTTGCATTTCAATCAGAAACTTATATTTTGTTTTGCAGGAAAAAATTATATTAGAATATTTAGGAGATAGGCTTCATATTTATGAGGTAGTCTCAATAATTTGTCTTTAAATTTATTTTAAGGTATATATATAATAAAAATAAAATTTTAAAGTTTCTTTTGATATATTTTGAGTCAATATAAACATAATATTTTTTATATTTTATAGCATATAAGCATGGGCGAATCCACGTTAAGCCCAGGGGTCTGAGAAAATAAAAAAATTCTTTATTATATGATTCTTTAGGTAATTTGTCTATCTCCATATATTTTGAAACAAATTCTGGTTGTAAAGATATTTATGAAAAAAAAAATTATTTTCTACACTTTTATTTATAAGTTTGTCTCCCCTGAAAATTAAGGCTAATTTCGCCCCTGCATTTAAGTATGATATTAGTTTTTGGGTGGATAAATAATTATTTTTAAAAATGTATCAGCATAATTATATGTTCATATAATTGCAAATATATTATAAGATTTACATGCGTATCACATATTTTTTTAATTAATTAATTATTCAACATTTAAATTTTAATCTTTATTCATCTAAAACTTTAATATACTTTAACATTGAAAAATAATAATTATAATTTAAAAAATTGAGTGTTATATAATTAAATATTAAAATTTAAATATTATATAAATTTATAAAATTATGTTATATGTATGCGAATCTTTAAAATATTAATATGTTATAATTTGTGGGCGGATAAATGATTATTCCACTTAATTTATTTGACCGGATTTCGACACAGGTCGGATTACCGGATTTCGACGCAGGCTTGAGCAATGCCAGAAGACTCTGGATCTAATGGCTGAAAAGATTGTTGAAGAACACAGGGAGAAAAGGGCCAAACGCTTCTCTGAAAATGACGATCAGGAAGAGGATCTCACTGATGTTCTTCTGAGGGTTCAACGGGAAGACAGCCTTCAATTCACACTCTCCGACGACAACATCAAGGCTGTAATCAACGTAAGTGAGCTCCCCATGAGGGGTGTCAATTTTTGACCCCACCCGAAATCCGACATGAAAAAATTCGGGTTCGGATCGACCCGTTTGTGAAATGGGTCGTGTTCTGGTTGAACAAACTGACCTGTTTCAAAAAATTGGGTCGGGTTCGGGTTGACCTGACAACCCGAAAATCCTCTGCCCGTGTCTGCTGCCTGCCCTGCACGAAGCATCGAGTGCCCGCCCGAAGCGTCGAGTCGTGTGCCTGCGTGGTGCGTCCCGAGCCCGAAGCGTCGAGTAGCGTCGATGGCTCGCTGCGTTGCTTGCTGCCGTTGCCGCTGCGCTGCTGGGAGTATTTAAAAAATTCGGGTCGGGTCGTGTCAACCCGGCAACACGCGCTGGTCGGGTCCGGTTTGAAAAAGCCGACCCATTTATAAAAATGTGTCAGGTTTGAGTTGGCCCGTTAAGAACCGGGTCAATTTGAGTTCGATCCGAACCCGACCCGCTGACCCTAATTGACACCGCTACCCATGACTAAGGATCTAATCACTGACGCTCTTTTAAGCAGCTTCCACTTACTTCTTTTCATAAACTAATTACCAGGACATGCTAATGGCCGGGAGCGAGACAACTTCGACAACACTAGAATGGGCCATGTCGGAGATGGTTCGAAACCCGACTGTAATGAAAAAGGCACAAAGGGAGGTCAGGGAAGTCATCGGGGGTAGCGGCGGCAGACTGGCCGGAAAGGTTGTAGATGAGGAGTTGATAAGTGGCAAGCTAACATACTTGCAACAAGTGATCAAGGAGACGCTCCGATTGCACCCACCAGGGCCTCTACTATTGCCTCGAGAAAACCAGGAGAGTAGAGAGATTTTGGGTTATGTCATACCAGCCAAGACTAACGTGATGGTTAATATGTGGGCGATAGGAAGGGAAGAAAAATACTGGGGCGATCCAGAGAATTTTCGGCCGGAGAGGTTCGAAGAGAGGATTGTAGATTTTAAGGGTGGCCACTTTGAATACTTGCCATTTGGGGCAGGAAGGCGAATATGTCCAGGGATGCAGTTTGCCTTGTTCATTTTGGAGATTGTTCTGGCGCATTTGCTCTACTATTTTGACTGGAAGTTTTTGGGAAACAAAGGGGAGAAGCTGGATATGCGAGAAGCTTTTGGTCTCACGACGAGGAGGAAGTCTCCTCTTTGCTTGGTTCCCACCCTTCGATTTCCTACTTCTCAGACTGATTTGGCCATCTCGATGGGATGAGCATTTGTAAAAGTATCAGTGCAATTTAAGAACTCATCCACCGATGTTTAGTTTGGTTGGTAGAGGAGTACGGTTGGGAACCTTTCAACCCGTGTTACGTGGGATCCAATCAAGTGCGGGTCAGGAGGTTTCTGGGATGGGTGCCTCTTTTAGATCAGCCGAGCATTAGTTACACCACCAAATGCCCATTCATGAGTGATAGCGGGTGGATATCTCATTCAAAACAAAAAAAAAATTTAGAACTTTAAAGCTCATCTTAATTACCATATTATATGTCGTAATATATTTGCATAATTTGTTTTCTTTCTGGTTATTGTTGACCAAAAGACTTGATGAAGTAGCACAAGATAAAATTACTCTAAGTAAAAGAAGAAATGAGACAATTTGCTTCTTTTTAATTGTGATGAAGGTTTTCATTTGGAATAATAAAAATTTCTAATCGAAGAATGACTCCATATTATCATAACGGAAAAAAATATTAAATTGATGTTATTCAAGAAAAAAATAAATTCAAAAATTTATTATTGGTCTAACTAAAAGAGAGATGGAGAGAAATTAAGAAAACTTAATAATATAATATGAGAAAAACATTAGTAGCTCATTTGGCTCGGTGCAAAGCAAAAATCCCATAATTCTCAATTAACTAACAACTAAACTTGAAAGAAAAAAAAAATTTAAAGGTGTATCGTATTCACTTAGTTTAAAGTTTCATTTGGAACAATTTTTTTAGATAAATTTTGTGCATAAAAATTTTTGTACTAATAGTTTTTATATTAAAAAATTATTTAAAAAATTAGTAAGAAAATTGTATCAAATCAAGCCTTAGGTTTCATTTAGGATGACTTTTTTATTATTTCTTAAAATAAAGTTTTAGTGCAAAAATTAAAAGTCATCCCAAACAAAATCTCTCGCCCTATTTAAATTTTTTTTTTCTTTTTTTTTTCTCTCACCCTATTTAGTTCTTTGTATCTATGGAAGCTTTATGAAGTTGCTTGAGACTTTTGATAATATAGTTTTCTATTTGATGGTGAGATTTATAATTTAAAAAATATAACTTTTGTTAAGAAATGTCAGTAAAATAAAAATATTATCTTATTTTTATTATAAGAAAATTTGTATCATAAGATTATGATACAAATTATATCATAATAAAATTAAAATTTATTAAATTTATTTTGAAAATAGTGCTGCAGATGTTGAGTTTGTGAGCTAATACTATTTTTGTTAAAATATTTTAAAATAATATTTATTCAATTAAAAATGTATCTTTTATTTTTTAAGTATTGTTTTACTTAATTATTCACTACTTCTATATATAGCTCTCTATGTACACACTTTAGTTGATTAATAAGAAATCCTTCATTCCTTTTCTATGCTTCTTCCGTCTTCTTCTGTTCTTGTCTCGAAGTTCTGAACAAGAACTTCTTTATGGTATCAGAGCAAGAAAGCTATGCAGCAAAGAATCCTCATGGCAGATCAAGGATCGGAGGTCTCGACTACCTCCAATGCATCTCCCGTCGCTCCTCCCACCGTCTTCATCATTCCACCTCAATTGAAATTTCTCATCTCAAATCTCAAAAGCTTAGTTCCCATTTCTCTCACCAGCGAGAACTATGCAATATGGAGATTGCAGATCCATCAAAACTTCTAGATCTGCAAACGGCTTCGCTGACTTTCTTTCCGGACACGAATTTTGTCCACCAGAAAGCTCTACCTCCGAATACAAGCAGTGGAAGATCATCGATCAAAATCTTTCATCCGCTTTTTTCTCCACTATTTCCGCATCTATCTTGCCATATGTCATCAGCTTGAAATCATCGCATGAGGTCTGGTCTACCCTTGAAAAAAGACTTCAACCAACAAATTGTTCTCGTGTGATTCAGCTCAAGAACGAGCTACATCAAATACAAAGGAAAGATCGATCTATGCAACAGTACCTGACACAAATCAAGATCCTCATAGACAGCATCGTCGCCGCCTGATCCACAATCGATACTGAGGACGTCGTTCTATACATCTTGAACGGACTTCCGTCCAACTACAATGCGTTCAAGAGCTCCATCCGAAAATCTTTAAATCCGATTAATTTAGACGTTCTTTACTCTCTTTTATGCAGTGAGGAGATCCATATCCATCAAGAACAGGCCAAAGAAACTATGCACCAAATAGATTCGGTGGCCCTTATGTCCAACCGAAACAACTACAGCAGAGGCAGATTCAACAAGAACTGTGGCCGAAGTTTGAACTCACGCAAGGCTTCGCAATCTACTTCAAATTCACAAAGTTCCAACCAAGGGCAGAGACCAATTTACCAAATCTGCGATAAAACTGGACATTCTGTACTGAACTGTTGGCACCGGTGTAATATGGACTATGCCCCAACCACCAACTCCAAGGCACTCACGGTTCAACAGCAACATGTACCTTCCACGGATTGTGTCTTGGACTCCGGGGCCTCGTCGCATCTCACCGCCGATCTCATGAATCTTGCTCATCCTACTCCCTACAACGGATATGATTATGTATCTATCGCTAACGGTAACAATCTCCACATTCAGAATTCGAGACAAGGCATACTGCCTTTACCAGCTCGACGCGTAAGCTACATCTTCGAAATATTCTACACGTGCCCTCTATTTCTCACAACTTATTATCTATTTCTAGACTAACCACCGATAACGATATTACTATCTATTTTGATGCTTGTGGTTTCTCTATTAAGGATCGCAAGGACAATCAACTTCTTCTCCGAGGTCAAGCTCACATTAGTCTCTACCTCATCAAAACTACACCTAAGATCGCGAGATCAGCCTACGCCTTCAAAGCCTCCAAGAATTATGCTTCCCTGTGGCACGCGAGGCTTGGACACCCGAACAGTCGGACGCTTCATTCCCTCGTCAAACAGATTCCAGAACTTAGAAATTCATCTGATTCTTTACTTATGTGTATTTCTTGTAATGTGGCGAAGAGCCATAAACTACCATTCTCGTCTAGTGTTTCTCATTGCAATAAACCTTTTCAGTTAATACATTCAGACGTCTGGGGACCTTCCCCACAGACATCCCTCAATGGATTCAAGTACTACGTCGTATTCATTGACGACTTTACTAGATTTTCTTGGCTTTACTTGATGCACTCTAAAAATGAAACATTTAATAATTTCCAACACCTCCATAATTTGATTAAAAACAATTTCAACAGCAACATTCAGATTTTTCATTCAGATGGAGGTGGGGAGTTCATAAATCTTGATTTTCAATTATATTGTTCAAAACACGGCATTATGCATCAAGTAAGCTGCCTGTACACTCCCGAGCAGAACGGTCTTGCGGAACGCAAGCAACGCCATCTGGTCGACCTCACACAGACATTTCTTCATGCCGCTCACCTACCTCAATTTGTTTGGGCTGAATCTATTTCCACCGCCAATTATCTAATCAATAGATTGCCCTCTTCTGCCTTCTCTAACCAAATCCCTTTTCATAAGCTTCACAACAAACCCACCACCTACACTCACATCCGCACCTTCGGGTGCCTGTGTTTTCCTTGGCTTAAGCCTCAAGCACAAAACAAACTCTCTCTAAGATCCCAAGAATGTCTCTTTCTAGGCTATTCATCCCAACACAAAGGTTACATATGTCTAGACTTATCCACCAACCGCGTTCACATTTCACGACATGTAGTTTTCATCGAACACCAGTTCCCTTTCAAACCCATCATCAATCCTACTCTCTTGGTCAGCCCACAAACCAATCATGCACCGTTGCTACTGGTTCCCACTTCCTCTATCTCCCATTCACCTACTGCCCCTTCTCTCTCTCCCACTTCACCATCATCCACGGCCAAACATCAAGAACCTGTCCTCAATTCCCCAGTTCACGACTCAATTGTCTCGGACTGCCATCTCTCTCAACCTCAATCAACGGCACACTGTCTACACAGCCACACAGACATCCTATGCAAACTCGCTTCAAAGACGGTATTATTTAACCCAAGAAAATTTTTGACCTCTCGGCCACCACATCTTCCGACCCCACGCCAACTTCATATGCTCAGGCCAACAAACACGTGTGGGTCTCCGAAAGGATTCTGCTCGTGTGGTTCAAATGCAAATGGTACGATCATATTATCCCGTGGGATAAAATAGTCGTAGACCTGTACACCCGACACAAGCAGGCCGATGGAAGAGCATATGGAGTTATACATACAATTAGCCATGGAGGATAGCGGCTTTCACCTACTAGCCTTGATGGATAATAATATGCATAACCCAAAAGTTCACGAGATTTCCCCCATTCGATACATCAGCTCGAATGAGGTTTATTTGATTGTGGGGATCGGTTTTCTACGGGCGCAAGCCCCCGTAGTTAATAACATCTTAGACCTCGGTCTAAGAAAACTCTCGATTAAGAACGTTAGATTATCTCCTCTAATGGGATTAGCGTAACGAGATTTCTAGGCTTTCCTAATCAAAGAGAAGAATGTCCCAAGTTGGCTCAATCAATCATACGTGGTTCAGTCAACATTCGGCCGATCTAGAGAAGGGAAAACTGGAAAAAAGAAAGAGGCAACGCATATCAAGCAAACACGAGAGAAAGAGGGAGGCGGCGTCATCTGTGTGACGCGGATGTGTAGGATTTATAGCTTCCGAAAGAATGGAGAGCTTACCCACCAATAAGGCGTATAGAGGTACACTCGTACCTCTCACCTTTAGATCCTAAATCTATAAAAGATGTAGTGTCGTACACACGACACTAGCATCTATGACCTAACTAATGCAGTCCTGGACTTATTCCTTGCCTGAAAAGGAAGCCAGCTAAAATCACCTAATCGTATAAAATCTATGTTATCTATTCCATATGAAAGATGGGAGGGTAGTTTAGACATTGGAATTTGGGATCGACATCTAGAGAAATTTTTAAGTGATCTCACACTTATGAGTGGTACAATACTCCTAAAACTAATGCAATTAAATTTTAATTTTAGTTGATTACTAATGTAATTTATGCTGGTTAAAGTCTCCAAATCAATGATGTATGAAATTTTAAAAAGACTTATAAAATAGTTTTTATAATGACTAAACTTTCCCTGGTCCGGCACTTCATCCTCATAGGCCAGATTATCCGGTCTCTACCCGCAGACGGGCAAGTTTGTCTAAAAGAAGAGAGAATGCGTGTATGCACCCCCGGATGATTCCGACTATTCCCTAAAATCATTATGTTTCTATGTGAATTGATCTTAAATTTTTATTATTAATTACGAATAGAAGAATTTTATCCTAAAAAAGCCTAGCGAGTCAGGTA